TGGCTTAAGCTCACACCAGAGGAGAATGGAAAAGGGATTGAGGCATGGGGGGTGATTTCTCAATTTCTGTCTCTCTTTCTCTTTCTGGCGAGCACACACACACTACAGCAAAAAACCTCTCCAAAAACACACACACACACAAAAAAAACAAAAATAACCTGTGTCTATAGTAATAACAAGACTATTATTTTTAATTTTTATTTTAGTCATTCATTTATTTATTTATTTAAATTTGACAAGAGAGAGACAGAGAGAGAGAAAGCAGGAAAGCAAGCTACCAGGTCCTAGACTTGAAACACAGTCAGCCATGTGGGAGTGTGCAATGCCTTAACCACCATGCCACCTGCTGGTCCCCTAACAGCAAGACTTTTATGCCACTAATTCAGATGAAAACTCTGATATACTAAGTAATCTTGGTACTTAAATCCTGACCTGGTTGGTAAACATGAGATAGGATCTTACTATAGTTTGTTTGCTGCTACTGAATTTTTCCCATTTCAAACAAACACGTATCTTCAATAAAGACAGCCTGCTAACTTACGATAGGACTAAGACTGTATGTAATAATCTACAGCCAACTCAGAATATGGAGGAAAAACCCCAAACATGACAAGACCGTAGGGCCTGAGTAAACAGAACATGGATATTTTATTATCTTTCAACTTTCTTCAAAATTCTCGAGTTCACAATTTTTTTTTTTTTTTTGGAGAGGTTTTTGCTCTAGGGTGCATATACTCGCCAGAAAGACAGAGAGAGACAGAGAGACAGAAAGCAAGAAATCACCCCCCAGGGGGGATGGCCAGGCCGCAATCCCTTCTCCTCCAGTCTCCTCTCGGGATGTTGGGCACACACACATGCACCTAGTGTGACTTTAAGCCACCGGGTCCGGGACTTGAACCGCGGTCGACTACGTGGGAGGCCAGCGACATAGCCATTACACTAACTGCTGGTCCCAAGTTTATAACTTTTCAAAGCAAAAAGTTGGGATAACATTTAAGTTGGGACAAGCAGATGTTGTAATGGTTATGTCACTGGACTCCCACCTAGTGGACCACGGTTTGCGTTTCAGAACCAGCAGCTTAAAACGCATACCAGGCCCGTGTGTGTGCATACCCAGAATCCCGAGGAGAACGGAGAAGGGACTGCGTCTGCGGTCCCGCCCCATGTATCCTCTTGCTTTCTGTCTCCCAGCAAATGCACATGCCCTAGAGCAAAAACCTCTCCAAGAAAAAGTCTGCAGGGCTAAAACGTCAAGCTATTTTAAGTCAAATTCCAAAAGTTTCATTTTCCAGTTGTTCAATACTTAGACTGCAAGGTTGCATCTCTCATAGACATAAAATACAAAATAGCAGACAAAAGGTATAAAGATTACTGCCCACCAAAAACAGTAAAACAAACAAACAAAAAACCACACACACAAAAAAACCCCTCATTTATCTCCCTAAGTGTTTCTGCCTAAATGGTAGGACCAGACCACAGAAAATAACCACTCAAGATTCTAGCAGCAGGGAGTTTCGTGTGTACAGTTACACTAGCACCAAGCTAAACATGCCATTTTCTTCTATGTTCACAGTGCACAGTTCATGAGCCTGACTTTATTCATGATAACTTTTTGTAAAGAATGATTTATTTTTATTTATTTATTCATTTATTTTAATTCTGACCAGAGAGAGACATAGACAGGGAAAGTGAGAAAGCAAGCCACCAGACCACCAGGTCCAGGATTCAGAACCGTGGTCAGCCATGTGGGAGTGTGTCCAGCGCTTTAACCACAACCCCACCTGTTGGCCCCAGATAACTTTTATTCTTTAAGAGAGATTTTGGCTACAGGGCACATGTGTTCACCAGAAAGAGAGAGACAGACACAGAAAGCAAGAAATCAGCCCCAGGGTGGATGGCCACACTGCAATCCCTTCTCCTCCATTCTCCTCTCAGTATCTTGGGCATGCACGCAGACGCACCTGGTTTGGATTTTAAGCAGCTGGGTCTGGGACTTGGAACCATGGTCGACTACGTTTGAGACCAGCAATGGGACCATCACACCATCTGCTGGTCCCTATTCATGGTAACTTTGTGTGTCTCCATTACTTCTCAATCCTGGTATTAGAAACTGGATGCCTTGGGGCTGGCAGGTGGCATAGTGGTTAAGGGCACCATCCTGTTCAAAGAAATCCTAACAATCCCGGATAGTCTCAATTTGCCAGAAAAGATTAACTTTCAAAGTAAAATGACTTGCCCAAAGTCACATAAGCATCAAGCCGAGCTAAAAACGCACACCGAGGTGCAAGGCCACGCCAGCAAGCAGCACCGCTAAAATGCACACCCTGCCTTTGCCATATTATCTCACTTAAATGACAAACCTACTTCCCACTCCGAGGAACCAATCTGCCTTTTCTCGGGGACTCCCACGCGATACTTTCCCTATCAAGAATAGTTAATGTAAGTTTTACAAGGATAGTCAGTATATAATGTAAAAATTTAGTTGTTGTTAAACCTCAGATAGTTTCTCACCCTCAACCCTTTCCTAGAAAGTTAAGATTTCCCTTTATTGAACGATTTATGACAACAGAAATACAGAACCCAGACTACAATTACACAAAACCCACAAAAGCAGCTCCCTGAAGAAAAACTGGTTTTCGTTAGCAGGAGGCCTCTCGGATGCTGCAAGGGGCAATGATTCCATTCTGAAAATAATGAAGAAACAATACAAAAGCGGGTCGACTTCGGAGGAAGCAGAGCACAAATGCTTGTAGTACTATGATTTACTTGGGCCCCTGCCAAGGGTAAAGTATGTTATTTAAGAAATGTTTGACATCTCAGGCATAGCCAAAATAGATAGACTAAAATAACCCTGAATATAGATTCATGATTTATATTCAATGACAGAAAAACAGGTTCAGCTTAAATAGTCTCCTTAAATAAAATCAATTTTAACGTTCAGTGAACTTGCCACCTTTTCTCTTCACAAAACACAATTCCTGCCCATTCTGCTGGTAGTCTAACACTACCCTTCCCGCCATTCGAACATGAAAAACCTGCAGCCAGACAGGAAAGGCAAGGCAGACCAAGAGCCTAACTTGATCCAGCCAGCAGCCACACACAGAGGGTTAGAAACTCACGTTCCCCCCTCCTCCTCCATTTTCAAAGATGAAGCCCCAGAAAGAAAACGCTTATTTTTTAACTGTACCTTTTCAAAACCGTGAAGGACGCTAACGAGTGGCTGGAAATAAACTCCAGGCTGTCCATGCCTGATGAGCACTACTGCAAAAGAGTGGAGAAGCCACAGCTCCTAGAATCCCCGGCTGTCAGGAAGGCTTCCCTCGGTTAACACCTGGGATATTAACGCCTAGCTGGGAAAGGTATTTGGCACATGTCAAAAATATCAACCATGGTTTCTGCAAGTTAGTTAAGGTCATAAACTCCGCCAACAGGAGAGGCCCAAGGACAGTGTTGGTGAAGGACAGTCTTCCCTTTACTGTGCCATGTAGTCACTGCACTGCATGCAAATCTCAGAGGCAGGCCAGGGAGACCATTCCTTTCTTTAAGTTGAGCATAAGGAACTGTTAACTTTAAACCAATGAAAGCACATAAAAGTCACCAGTTTCTTGCTACTTTATGAATCCCTCAAATTACTGTGTTTAACATCTGGAACTAGCTACCATAGATGGGACTTCATGAAGTATGCTAATTTTAAATCCTCTAAACCTATCAGCCCAATGTTTTTGCTTGTTTGTTTTGGAGAGGTTTTTGCTATAGGCACGTGTGCTCCCCAAACAGAGACAGAGATAACAAGTGAGAAATCACCCCCCAGGGGGGATGGCCATGCCGCAATCCCTTCTCCTCCATTCTCCTCTTGGAATCTTGGGCCCACGCGCGCACGCTCACACACACACACACACCCAGCGTGAGTTTTAAGTCACCGGGTCCAGGACTCGAACCGTGGGAGTCCAGCGACACAGCCATTATGTTAACTGCTGGTCCTGAGCCCAATGTTTTAAAAATTATGAACCCAGCCACACTGGCACAGACTAGGTGATACTTAAGTCAGAAGAAAAACTTCAGATCCAGGGTAGACCAGAACATGCTGGGAAGGATCACAGCCTCCTCAGACCCTGTTGCGGACACCTGCCTGTCTCTCATAATGCAAAAAAAATTACTTTCCTTAAACTTTAAAAGTAACACAGACTACGATTCCATCCCTGAAAGTTCTGAAGAAAATTAACCTTTGGTGCCAGCACAGAGGTTATCACTGCGTGTGAAAGGGGTGGCCAGAAGACATTAGGAGGGAAGCCCTGGCCTATGAGTTAGGTTCAATTTCTCAGCCCAAATGTTCATTCCCTAGGCTCCACTGTCTGAACGTATGAAATCTGTACCTAAGTAGACAGTACGTAAATTACAAAAACACATTCAGGCCAGCTGCATTGGCATGGCAGTAATGCAAAGCTCTGCAAGGCCAAGCCCACATGAGAAGGGCCTGAGTACAGTCCCTGGGTCTCCCAGTCCACACAGGGAGGGCCCTAGGATTGCCCAGGCTGGGGATGGTCACAGGTGAGGACCCAGTTGGGGCGCCTATCTTACTCCGTGGTCATGATGAAGAGCCTGCATGTGTACGTGCGCACGTGTGTGTGTGTGTGTGTGTGTGTGTCTGTTTGTGTATCAACTTACTGGAGCACATCTGAAAAAATCCAAAGGAAAACTGAATTCAACCACCAACATTAAAAGAAAAATCCTGAAATGACAAATCCATTTTGGGTGTCTCACATAAAAGGCCTAGGCAGACTGGGAAGTAGGCAAGCTCTCACAGGACTTTCCAGCTGGCAGCTAATTTGATGGGTGCACAGAAGTGCTGCCTTCACCAGCAAGAACACACACAACCCGGCAGGGTCCTCAAAAGCATACTTACAGAGCAAGACCACGATGCTGCTTTAGAACTAGTAACAAACTGCATCCAAGGCCCACCCTACATAGTCCTTATCTAGACATGGGTAACCAAAGCATACCTTATTTGCATTGCCTGAACTCTGAGGCCACTGTAATCAACCTCTTTTTGTTCAAATTCTTTCCACTCGTCTTCGTCCTGTAAAACAAATACCATTTGATCAATTCATGCTACCTGTAAACACGGCTAACCCAATATCAGATTATGGAAAGGGGATCAAGTGGCTGGAACCCAACGTTAAGTACAGGCTCGTCTCCTCGCGGGCTGTGCCCTGGATGGCGGTCGAACACGCCAACTCGTGTAACACTGTAACTTCCGCCACCTCCCGCACAGAGGGTTACGGTGAAGCAAGTCGGCGAGCGAGAAGAGCCGGTAGTAACCCCCAGCTGGATTTCGGCCTCAGCGTCGCCACCAGGCTCTCTTGCGCCGGCTCAGAGACCACGCCGGGCGACAGCGCTGTCGCCGACGGCCTCGAGCATTCCGCTGCAAGTACGGGGCTGAGGTCAGCACGCAGCTCACTCCGAGCGATCGGGGTCCCCCGCCAGCGCTCCCCGC